TCGTGCCAGGGCATGTTTCCTTGTCATACTGGGAAACGACATCAAGGTCTGCTCTAAACTGTGCTGAATGATCGGTGGCAGCACTAAACTCTTACCTGGCTAATCGTCTGTTGAAGTTCTTTCTCTGCCTTTCAACTGAGAAGCTTTTGCTCCACTACATTAGTTTGTGATCTATCAGCTCAGGCACCCGTGGACTGTTGCCAGGCTTCATTTTCAGCTTTACCTTTTTGAAAAGCCATCTTTTTTCCACTTTGACTCAATTTCCTGATTGTTTAAGGATTAAGGGTAGTTGGGGCCGGAGGCAGTCGTAGTCAGGCTGGCAGCTGGTGTAACCGTAGACGCCAGTCTGGCGTGTCTTTATGACCGTAAAAAGGAGCACTAATTTCTTAAATTCTGGTTTTCTCTGGTCGACAGGGAGATCCTTTACATAGCAAAGTGGGATCTCTCAAAATATTTTCTTAGTTCAAGCAAGGTTGATCCTTTTTGTTTTTACTTTAGTAAAAGGGATGGCTTTCAGTAGCATTGATAGCATTTTCTGTGTATTTCGTGTTCTGACAAAGGAATTTCTTTGCATGTAGCAATCAGTTACTGATGTCCAAAAGCACAAAACTGTCCTCTTAAATCAATTCATGTCTGGATTTCTAAAAAGTCCAGTTCAGTCTCTGTAATGCCCACAGCTTCCTGTCGGCTTACTTTATGCAGAAATTTCCCAAATATTTGTTTCAGTTACTGTAATTCCTAATGATTGAGTTGAAAAATAAGACGGGCAGGGACAACATCCACAGCATGTAGAGTGTTTGACAGGAAACAATTTAACACGGTTGTCTGATAAGCACCTTGTCTTTCTGTCTGAGTTGTCCTGATGCAGTAAACCCTCTCACCAAAAAGATTAAAACAAGCACCGTGATGTCTGTTCAAATGACCCTGTTCTGGTTTTAGCTGCAGCCAAAGAGCACTTCACACTGTGAAACTGTGTCAGAGGTGGTTTGGAGCGATGCATTTGGGCCCCTCTCTGTCTCGGTAAGCTTAGTGGAATGAAAATGACAACTTGCTCTGATAAGAAGGCGATCATTTGTGAACATTACATGATTAGATAGTTGTTGCTGTTCTATCCAGCGGAAGTGCCAAACATAGCATAAACATTTCAGCATAGGAACTTTTCTAATCACATGCTTTTACTTTGAAAAACAACCACAGGCTGCTGCTTTTGAAAGATCCTTCCCTTCTGGGTAGGCCTGGCCATTGGGGTCTGATCAGTAGAAGTTACTTGGAAACTAAATCAGACTTTCTAGTCACAGAGTCAGTTTTGGAAAGTGGCACGTCTACATCTCCGTTCATGTCGTTACTGAGGTTGTTTTCCTGCCTGTGTCACTACAGACATATTTCAGTTTTAGTGCAGTGAAGTGTTATTGGCAGGGCATTTAGATTTTAAAACACTGTGTCAAAGCACAAAACAGAAACAACATGTTACTAGTTAAACGTGTAGATGTTTAGACTTGGGTCCTCTTATCTCTCTCTCACAACACAAGCTCCCAGCATCCTCTCTGATTTCATTAATTTTTAGCATCAGCTGGTTAACGTGCAACCTACGTGAAGGTCATGGAAGACAATGTGTTCAGCTGTTCATCTGAAATGCTTCCCTTCTGCTTTCTCTGCTAAGCTGCTTATTGCTATAGCAGGTACGAGTATGAGGCTGTGTTTGTGTGTGACACTTGTATGAAATATAGTCTAGGCCACTTACTGAATGAGATGCTGAATGAAATTTAACTGTGCTTTTGCAGGCACCTGCAAAACATTTCAGTTCATATGGAAATAGATGGACAACTTGGGGCTGTCTGGAAATGTTAGGAAACACATAGCAACGTTTTAATTTAATCACTTTTATTGGTCAAGTATGTTACACACACACACACACACACACACACACAAGGAATATGTCTCTGGTACAGAAGCGAGGCAACCACCTGCAAATACATTTGTATAGTCTTTTAAAAATACTCATATAGCAGAAAACGAAGTTAGAACCCCACCTGCAGCCAATGTGGGGCTCCATAAACCCTAACTCACTGTGACAGAATCCAGTTTATAGTTTAAGATGGAAGAAGAAAGGTGGTCTTTGTGGAACGACAGGATGACTCTGTCTCTTTGGAGGCTCATGAATTCACCTTCTCTTTCTTCTTTCTTTCTTTCTCCTGTGATCCATGCAGTCTTCCTTACATCCCAGCCTCCATCCATCCTCTCCACCCTTCCTTCCTCTCAGGCTGCCTCAGGCCTCATTGCACAGGAGGTGGAATTTAAAGACTGGAGCCTGCTATGTGATTGTTTTATTATTCACTGTGTGAATCAGTAATATATGATGACGAGTTCCCTGTTTCCACCGCTGAATGCCGGATGGGGATTTAGCTTAAGCTTAAATAAAAGTGCTCTTGTTTGGTGCACGTAAAAGCTGCTGAATTGAGCCTGCTGATAAACCGTACCTGCCTTAGTTTCAGTGTCTGCTCGCAGGCGGTGTAATTTAGCCTATTTTTACAACCTTGTACGTTAAAGTGTGAAGTGGTTGCCCGGCTTGATCAGATATGAGGTTGTGTATGAATGGCAACATTGTTCTGTGTGACTGGCTCGGTGCCATCGAGGTGCTTGCTGTTGCCAGTGTTTCTCTCTGGTTTCTGTCTCAGTTTTCATTTTCCTCTTTGTTTCAGTTTCTGTGAGTCAACAGCTGCAAAAGCAGTAGAGTTGAATGGACGCACGGCTAAAACACAGACTGAGCAATAGGGAGGAAGGGACTCGAGCACTGATCTTGGTGTGGTGGTTTTAATGGCTGCAGTGGTGCAAGTTGTATGTAATGCATGGGAATACATGTTACAGAGGGACTGGAGGAAGAAAGAAAGTCATAACTCTGGATTTGTAAAGATGTTTTGTATATGTGTAGCCTATGTTTAAAGTAGTATCATCTAAAATGGTTTTAAATACAAATGAATGGGTCAGAACTGGATTTTGAAAGAACTGTTTGCAGCACATCCACCCAGTTTATATATTTATCGTATGTGTAATTAATTACAGGGACTATAGTGTAGTTAATTTGCAATTTCTACTTTTTTTTTGTTTTACTTTTCTGGAAATATCGTCTGTAGTTTCTACACTGACTGTGGACTGTGGTGTTATGTGGTGGCCTGCAGAGATAACACGAACCTTTACATGTGTGAAAGTAAGAAATCTGGCTGAAAGTCTGAACATGTTTCAGTGCAAACAGGTAAAAACCACAAAGCCTAGAGCTTTATTTTATGATTTGTTATCAAGATCTGTGCTAGTGAAACAGTTGATTCAGGATGGAGACAGACGAAGAACCAGTACGGTGCTGACACTTGGATGCAGTCTGACCTTTGGCAGCCTCCTCTCTCCTTTCTGGCTTAGGTTTTGTGGCTTGTCACCTTGATAGAAGCCTCTCACCTCTGCACAGCACAGCTGGATGGGGCTGTTGTTGATTTTGATGGGAGTAGATGGGAACTGCAGTCCAGAGCCTTGAATTCCACGTGGCGCTTGACAGAGGGAAGAATGTTTGGTACTTGAAACTGGGCAACACAGACAGTGCTGCACAATCACACTGTGTGAACTCTGATGCACACATGCAAATCCCTGTTTCAGTTTTTGCCTCATGCACCTGAATGTTGTAATATTAGTCTGTTGTGATATTCCTTGAAAGACATTTACAGTTCACTGATTAAACTTTAAGAGAGCTACACATGTTGGTCAGTGTGTTTACGTTTGAGGCCTTGAAACAGTAACATGATGTTTATTCAAATAATTAAAAGGTATCAGTGATTTCTAGCAAAAGAGTTTTTACATTTTGATCACAATGCACCCAAATGGACAAGTCATTTCATTTAGGATCTCACAGGGCCCTTGAAATAGAAGAGTTGTGACATTGAGGAGTCAAAAACAGCAGCAGTGAGTCAGGCCCATTGTTTTCTGTAGGGAGCAGCAGGATTTATCACCAAATTACTACTTTTATTAACTTGTACAGCCTTGTAAGCCAATTCAGTGTTCTGTTGTTGTAGATAGCTCAGATATTTAGCCAGGTACCTAATCTATTAAAGGGGTACAATATTTGAGAGAGACAGTCAAAAGGTTGTCGCTAACAAAAAATGTCACAAGTATAGTCATTTCTATTGATTTCAGCTTCTTTAGAAGACAGCAGCCAGCTAAATGGTCTTATACTTGTATACAGCTTTTCTTTGCTTTGCACCTGAGGTTTGTGGAGCACACACAAACTGACATGCCAAAGAGAGAAATGTGAGGAATATCTAGCTTGAATGTGATAAAACATGCTATGAATTAGAATCTGACTTCCACCTTCAGTGCATAACTTGTGAACTCATAATTATAAGTTTAGATTTTTTCTGAAAGTGGTTTAAATCAACATGAAACTGACACCTGGAAACACTTTTTTTGAGATTGCACACATTGAACGTGACATATGAACAACACATGAACATACTACCACGGTGGTTGTAATTCACACTGGCACGTCTCTTTGTACTGAAGTCTGTCTGTGGTTTTACACATCATGTAGCACTGGTGTCATTATACTTCAGTAAAGGGCCTTTTGTTTCTTACCCCGACCTGGCTTTAACCCTGCAGTGCAGGTCATATGCCGTGGTTGTGCACACATCTGAACATCAGGTGAGACTGAAAGGGGATTTGTTGCAGCTGATAAGCAGAGCTGAGAGATGTTTGTCTGCCAGATAAGGTTAAGCAGCAATATTTGAAGAAGTCAGATATTCTGTGACAGACTAATGACTCACATGGATGTTGACACATTTTTCTCAAGGTTTAAAGCTATAGGCTCTCTATAAGAGGTGGTCTAAGTGTTTGTGGAAACGGTAGTTAACCTTTATTTTTCCAAGGAGGGTTTGCTTCAAAGACCTGCATTTGTTTTGTCCACTGTAACCTGCTTCATGTTGTTACTGGCACACCTGAGCTGCCGATTACAACCGCATTCCTCCACTGAGCCGTACAAAAAGAGCGATTGTGGGTCTTCAGTTGTTGAGGTGAGATTACCTCGGCAAGTCTTACACTGTCATGATTGCAAATTACATTTAATGCTGTACCAGGTTTCACACACTTCACATTGACAGTAAGCCTGTTGTATGTTCTTAGTCCGATGATCATGAGTGTTGCAGGGTAAAGTATGTGTTAGCACAGACTGTATTGGGTTGTGTGTTATTAACCCAACACAAGGTAAGTGCCACACAGTATTTTTAGCAGCTTCCACCATCTCATTGCCTTAAAGTGACTTCTGGAGTGTACAAAACTGTGTCATGCAGAACTTTCAAATTAAGAGTTGCACAAGAAATTTTGATTTGCTGCTCCATTACTTTATGGCACAAAGAAGGAAAAGGTGATGTTTTCATGTGATTGGAGTCAACATGATGGCAGAGAGTGGAAAGATGTGTTCAGACTGAGCCAACCGTCATTCAGCCTGCACTGCCTGATTCAGTTGTTTATTGGATAGTTGCTCACGATCACTCCCCGGCAACGTCACCCTGTAAACTGTTCCCGCTGTCTGTGTTGGTTGTCTGTTCATCTGCATCATCTGTGGAAGAAGTGGAGCAGGACGAGGAGGTCGCCTCCTCATGTAGCAGGACAGAATCCTGAGCGCAGCTCACACCGCAGTCATCGGTGTTAGAGTCATCCCCGGAAGATGACGTGGAGGAACTTGAATGGAACACGGTTTCCAAAATACTGGCGATAACTATATTGTGGAAGGCAGTCGACCAATCATCATCACTGTCAGAGTCGGAGCTTGATTCAGCCTCGTCAACCAGGTGCTGTTGAAAATACTTTAAGATATAATTTAGTCTCTGTTAACCTTTGCCATTTTTAAAAACATAGACCAAGTCATAATCAATTTAACTGAAATAATAGTTGATCATTTGAACTGATCATTAGCTTTCCTACCTCCATGTCTATCATTATGTTGTTGGCGTAGATGTGGTCAAAGCACATGAGCTGGTTGTACAGCTGGACAAGCTCCTGGTAAGTCACCTCAGCATCACTCCTGTCACTCTCAGGCTCGTCATCACTTTCATCAGACTCGAACCCTGAGTCGTAATCTTCCAGAGACATGGTGTTGCTGTGTACGGCTCTCTGCTGTACCTCTGATGGCAGGTGGAAGTAAGTTTGGGGCTGAATCACATGTCAGTGTGTTTGGAATCAAGTGTTGCCACAATAAAGTCAAGTCTGTTTATTGAGCTAGGCAACCATTGGTGCTTTGATTTGAAAAATGCCTGTTGAGTTCTGGGATCACTGTTTAGCAGGGACCTTTGGCTTTTGGACAACTTGTTTGTTCTCTTTGTCTCTGAGATGAACCTCGTATAAAGCAGAATCCTAGAAATGACATTAATGAGCTTGTTGTATTAATTAAGATGCAGTGTGTGAGATCCAGTGATATCTACTGGTGAGGTTGCAGGCTGCAGCATTCAGCAAAGCTTTCATACATCGCGTTCAGCAGCCCTCACAGCGATTACTGTAAATGTGGGAAGAATTGCGCACTCTGAAAACAAACGTGGCTTACTTGGCCAAGCAAAAGCTAACGGCAGCTCACAGCTTTTCACAGACCACACTTGAGGTTGACTTGCATTTAGAGGTAAAATGAAATGATCTCTGTGGGATAGTTTTGGCTTTCAAATATCAGTAGCATCCAGTGGCATCTGACTGGATGATTTTTTTTTTTTTAAAAATTGCAAAAGATGGAACAGAATGAAACTTCTGTCATTTATAGCTGTTTATGGATTTCTACCTGGCCTTGCTGAGCAGCGAGTACCTGGCCTCTCTGTAATGTAGTGCTGGTCTTTCCTGCAGGCAGCGGGGTAGCCGGGACCTGCTTCCAGCTCTGTTGCACTGGCGAGATCTACAGTGGGTACGGAAAGTATTCAGACCCCCCCTTAAATTTTTCCCTCTTTGTTATATTGCAGCCATATGCTAAAATCA